CCCCCTTCCTGCTTCCCCTTGTTCCAAAGAGGGTCCTGCCGTCCTTTCACCCTTTGCTGGGTTTTATGGCTGTTGTTATCCCTGCCGGTGCTGTCGTTCCTGGGCTCTAGGCCTTTGCTCAGGCTGGACCCTGCCTCTGCAGCGTCCTTCTGCCTTGACATCGTGGCAAATTCACTCTCACCCCTCAAGGCCCAGCTCCAAAGCCCTCTCTCCCCTCAACTCCCATCCACATACCGGCTGACTCTGGGAGCCCCATCCTGCCCAAGTGCACTCAGCTGTGTCCCTGCTGCCACCGTGGCCCTTTTCTGCCTTGGGTCTGATGTCCATCTCCCCAGAGGAGGGACCTGTCCTGTGCCCCATCTGTGGGTCCCAGAGCCAGCAGGGTGCTGAGTGGGGCAGGCTGGGTTTGGGGCTTGCGGACAAGACATGGACACTGCCCTTGTGGCACCGCCGTGTGCCAGGTGCTGTGTCAGGTGCCTCACAACACAGCTCCCGGAGCCTTCTCGGCACCCAGGAGGCAGAGCTGGGACAAGCCTGTTCTCGAGGAGGGAGCAGTCCCACCCAGACTGCCCAGGCCCCCAGATCCCACCCGGCCCTGCCCACCCCGGAGCCCAAGCTGGAACCACAAGTGACCACCAGTCCCACTTTGTCTTGCAGTGGAGCAGGACCGCACCCTGGGCCGCCAGGAGCCCCAGTGGAAGGAGTTCCGCTTTGACCTCACCCAGATCCCGGTGGGGGAGGCCGTCACGGCCGCGGAGTTCCGGATTTACAAGCTGCCCAGTACCCACCTGCTCAACTGGACCCTCCACATCAGCATGTTCGAGGTGGTCCTGGAGCAGTCCAACAGGTGCCTGCCCTGCGCCCCGCGGGTCTGCTTAAGCCTCTGCCAGAGGGTCCGGCCCAGCCCTGGGTGCTGGGGGGACATTTCCCAGAGGACAGAAGGGGAGCTTCCTGGGCAGCCCACCCTCAAAGGAGAAAGATGGTTGGCCCGAGGCCTCGTGTCACCGTGGGGAGAGGCCCAGCATCAGTCCTGGATTCAAGTCCCCATCCTACTGTCCTAGCTGTGGGACACGGGCAGGTCACTGAGCTCCTGAGCCTCAGTTTCCGCAGCCGTACATGGGCACAGTGACACCTTTGTACGGTAGACGCAGTGAGAAAAGGCATGTAAGGCACCCAGGTCAGAGCCAGGCGGGGTAGATGCCCCACTGATGGTCCCCCAGGAGGGCACTGGAAACACAAAGGCAGCTGTGCCGGCCCTCGGTTAATTGTTCTTTCGTGTCCACAGGGAGTCTGACTTGTTCTTTTTGGATCTTCAGACGCTCCGATCTGGGGACGAGGGCTGGCTGGTGTTGGACGTGACAGCAGCCAGTGACCGCTGGCTCTTGAACCGTAGCAAGGACCTGGGACTCCGCCTCTATGTGGAAACAGATGATGGTAAGACTCGGGCCAGCAGCGAACCGTCCCCTGGGGGCTCCTCCGAGGAAGCTGCTGGCAGCCGGCGCAGCTAGAGCCCCTCACGTGGCCCTGGAGGCCTGGCCTTTTCCACCTGTGCCGCTGGGGGATACCTCCACCCCTCCGCGGGGGCTCAGTGGGTAGAGAGTGAGGTTCCCGCAGTGCGGGGCAGCAGGAGACCCCCTACCAGCCGAGGCCCTCCTCTCCTTCTGCAGGACCAACAGTTGTGTTGCTCAGAGTGAGTCCGTGTTTTCCCTCCCCAAGACATGGGAGAGCTTTTACTCTACGGAGCTGCCGTCTGCACCAGGAGTTTCCTTCCTGGGCTGGGCGAGGGGAAGCGCTCACACCCTCAGGCTCTGAGGCAGAGGCCTGGGTGTGAATCTCGGCTCTGCAGCCTTCTAACTCGGTGACCTTGGCAGGTTACTTACCTTTTAAGCCTCGGTTTCCTCATCTGTAGAATGAGGATTCACACCTTCATTCATTTAGCAGGTGTTTGGGGGAGAGCCTCCTGGTGGGCCCAGGGTTGGTGTGGGCAACCTGGGCAAAGACAAGTGGGCAAAACAGTAACTCTGAAATATATGCCATCTTATTTAATAGCAGTGGAGGGGGACAGGATCTGATTCAGCGTTCTATAAAACAACCCTCTGAGACACTCCCCCTCGAGGGGATGTAGCATCTCTCCCCCTCCTTCAGTGTTGGCTACGCTTACAGACTTGCTTCCCAAAGTATGCCGTGGGCTGGGGCAGTACCTTTGCAGGGGCAACCTGAGCGGCACCCCTCAGCCGGGTGCTCAGGCTCCCATGAGCACGTCGTGTA